TGTTTCTCATTTAGATTGTTGATCTGTTTGTGTGTTTGAAAAAAATAACACTTAATCAAAGCCTTCTTGACTCAGTTGTTCGGCTCTAGCTGTTTGAAACATGTTTACCGATGTTGATGTTGATGTTGACTGGACTGAAGAAATAATTATAACAATAATCATAATGATAATACTAATGGTATGGTCGGTTTTATCATGTTCTTATAGTTTTGAGATTTTTAAAATATCATGTCTGCTTCTGGTAATTGAAGGGAAACCCAAAGAAGCGATTTTTTATTTATTTATTTATTTATTTTTTTTTAATTACTGGAAGAAATAATGATAACAATAATCATAACGATGATACTAATGATATGGTGAGTTATCATGTTCTTATAGTTTTGAGAATTTTCAAATATCATGTCTGTTTCTGGTAATTGACAGCTAAAGGAAAATCTATAGATACATTTTTCTTCCCGCATTGTTTTCATTTTTATCTGCACGAATCTGGTTGATTAGAGCTTACTGACCTCAAGGACTTTGCGACGATTGTGGTTAGTATATATTTGTTGCCTGCAGGTCGGTTTGTGGATCTCTATTTTTATTTATTATTTGAAGTAATTTTATGGTTTGTTAATGTTTGGCTGCTTTTGTTCTTTCATTTGTTCTCTCTTAATTAAGTGTGCGTAGTTCAGCCACACGATCGGGTGCATGTAATTGCTTGTGCGGCTCTGCTGTAGTTTAATAAAGTGTGTCGTTTTTAGTTGTTTTGGGGAAATTTAAAATGTGTATTTAAATTCGCATTTGCTGACCAAAACGTGATAGTCATGTCGCCATGTACCCATGATAGAGAGGTTGCTCTACAAAGGTGGGTGTATAAAAATTCTCAAAGACCATATGTGGACGGCGTATCCTCGACAACTCTCAAATCTCAATCATCCAGTCACCCGTTCAGGTACATTGTAATTGGTTTGTATGATTTTACTGTTGTTGTTTTACTTTCCACGGCAGTGGAGAGTGGAGACTGTTAGGGGGTGATTGTTTACCAAATATTTTACTCACTTTTATTTCAAACTCAAAATCTAACTCAACTTTAACTCAACCCCACTATCTTTAATATTATTCATATTATTAAATAATACAAACCAATCATTCTTACACATCACATCAACTTTAATTCACTATTCATCCACTCACATAATTTTAACTACCTATCATTTCCAATCCTTTCCAATCATTTATATCTTACTTTTACATCAAATCAATTTTAATTATTTTATTTTAAATATTATTTTAATACATTCTTAAAATTCCACTACAACTAACCATACCACCTTTTTCAAAATTAACTATAGTTAACCAAAATAACTCAATTTGAACAAATTATTTCATAAACAATCAAGCCCTTAGTAACTTATATGTGCACTCTATGTGGCCAACAACCCACTGGAAAAATGATACAAATCACAACGGTCACTCAAAAACTACGGTTCGGCAAACCTATTGGTACTATGTTTAATGTAAATATTATGTTTTGTGGCTTAGTACCTTTAGGGGTCGTTTACTTTGAAGGACAGGATTACACTAAATAATCCGGATCACTTTACAAGTCAGCTTTGTGTCCCTCGTTTACTTTGTGTTATGCAGTTTTCCGAAACAAATCTATCGTTTACTTTGTAGGACTAAGTGATAAGTTAACTTTTCAAATGTCAAATGTGCCCCTGCAATATAAGATGTCCAAATGAAGTAAACTTTCATTTTCGAACGATTTTTGCCCTCTTTTGAAATTCCACAGAAACCTAAATTGTAGTCGAGGGCTCGGTCGACAGCAAGGTACGAGCGCGACATTCCGACAACGACCGACGAGTGAAGACTGAAGCGGACGAATTTTCTCTGGTAGTGTGGGCTGCGTGTTCTGAAGGGGACGACGACGAGTGAAAATATAGAGACGACGAGTGACGAGGCCAACGGTACACCAACAAACCCTAATTTTTAACATTAAATTGTTCGATTTTCGTCGTCTTGTTGCTTTTCGAAACCCTAGGTTCACATTTCGTAGGCCAATAATAGGAAATATGAAATCCCCAAATTAGAAAAAAAGTTGCATTTTGGAACCCTATGTACGTAGCTGATGCGTTTTCGAACAAAATTCTTGCTCCCATTGGACTTGTTATGTCGCGATATGGGTCAAATAAGAAATATTCCCTTTTAGGTAAATTTGAATTAAGGGCTGCTGCTCAATCAATTAGTTATGAAATACCATTAACTCTATGTGTATTATTAATATTTCGTGTATTATTAATATTTCTACGTGCAGTTCGGTAAAACAAAAAATTCTCCTATTTCTTTACTAGAAATACTAGGAGTAATCTGAAATTTGGAAGCATGGCAATTTGTAATGAAAATGATTGTCCGTATTGACGTTACCCTGTTTGAATTCATTTCAGTTGTATTTACCTCTATGTGGAAGAGATTGTCTTCCTGGTTAATCTTTGACATGAATTTATTTTTCTTTGGGTAGTTATTCTCATTTCAGATATGTCTTTCTTGTTGTGGTTCTGAATTATTATGTTCATATGGGGTAGTAATTACCTTTTGCCGTCTGAATCCATGTATTTCAT